TATCAACTATATCAACTGATCCTTTACAGAGTCTCTCTTACCTCTATATCACTATATCAACTGATCTTTTACAGAGTCTCTCTTACCTCTATATCACTATATCACTGGTCCTTTACAGAGTCTCTCTTACCTCTATATCACTATATCAACTGATCCTTTACAGAGTCTCTCTTACCTCTATATCAACTATATCAACTGATCCTTTACAGAGTCCCTCTTACCTCTATATCACTATATCAACTGATCCTTTACAGAGTCTCTCTTACCTCTATATCACTATATCAACTGGTCCTTTACAGAGTCTCTCTTACCTCTATATCACTATATCAACTGATCCTTTACAGAGTCTCTCTTACCTCTATATCTATATCAACTGGTCCTTTACAGAGTCTCTCTTACCTCTATATCACTGTATCAACTGATAATTTACAGAGTCTCTCTTACCTCTATATCACTATATCAACTGGTCCTTAACAGAGTCTCTCTTACCTCTATATCACTGTATCAACTAGTCCTTTACAGAGTTTCTCTTACCTCTATATCACTATATCAACTGGTCCTTTACAGAGTCTCTCTTACCTCTATATCACTATATCAACTGATCCTTTACAGAGTCTCTCTTACCTCTATATCTATATCAACTGGTCCTTTACAGAGTCTCTCTTACCTCTATATCACTGTATCAACTGATAATTTACAGAGTCTCTCTTACCTCTATATCACTATATCAACTGGTCCTTAACAGAGTCTCTCTTACCTCTATATCACTGTATCAACTAGTCCTTTACAGAGTTTCTCTTACCTCTATATCACTATATCAACTGGTCCTTTACAGAGTCTCTCTTACCTCTATATCACTATATCAACTGGTCCTTAACAGAGTCTCTCTGAAATCATATTGTAGTTGAGTTTTGTCAGTCAGGCCTGATACGATATATGTCATGATACCAGAGCTTTGATGATGATTATGTAATAAAAGAAAAGAATACTTTGATAACAGAATGGCGCTAGTGAAGTGGCTACTCTTGTCTCTCTGTTATCACTATATCAACTGGTCCTTAACAGAGTCTCTCTGGTTAGAATCATATTGTAGTGGAGTATTGCCAGTCAGCCCACTATATGATACATGTCATGATACTAGAGCTTTGATGATAATTATATATAACAGAAGAGGTATCATTTTCATAACAGAGTTT